AGCCTTGACTACAGCTGCAGCATCTGCTCCTAAGCTCACTCTTAGGAGTTTGGCAGGCCTCACTTAGGAGTTTGGCAGGCCTCACTTCCTCACTGGTCAGTAGCATTAGACCTCAGGTCCTTACCAAGTGGCCTTCTGCACATGCTGCCTGGTTATCCCCAGGCCACAGCAGCTGCCTTCCCTCAGGGCCCATGATCTCTAGAGCGAGATCAACCAAGATAGAAGCTACAGTCTTTTCTGCACCAATCTCCCGCACTGTGGCTTCTGCTGTAGCCTGTTGGTAACCCAGATCAACCTGGGTGCCGTGGGAAGGGACCACACTCCAGTGTGGCTATCAGGAGGTAAAGATCATCCAGAGCTCTCTCCTAGTTGATTGCTACAAGTAGCTGAACTAGAACTGAGAGATTTTTATAAAAGAAAATACTTGAAAATTTTAAATTGTGGCAAGAAAGGACCAAACAGACCAAGGAGGTGATATTCGAGCATTAGGCAGTTTGGGGGATGGAGCTGAATGATCAAAGTGCTACATTAATTAAGTACTCACAGCAGAAAGAAGGGGAAGCTGGAGTAGTTGAAATTACAGGCAAGGAGAACAGCCAGGAAAAGATTTCCTTATACTGCCAAAGTCAGTCCCTGAGAATTTTTACCGGAACTCTTGCAAAGCAAGAAATACAAGGACACTAAAAGCATGAATTGTACAAAATGTTATTGCATTCAATCTAAAAGACTACCTTTTATTCTGATATTCTCCCTCCTGCTCTTTTTATGCTAAAAATATACTTCCTTTTTACATGTAATAGTTAACTATACTTAATGTCACAATTCCAAAACCTTGTGTCATTCCCCAAAATTAAAAAAAGAAAAAGAAAACTGGCTTTGAAATTGAGAAGTCTGGGAATCATTGATCGAGATTATTACTGTAAGGAGGCCGATGCCCAGAAGTGCCACTGGTTCGCCCACGGACACACAGCTGGAGGTGAGGGAGAGCGAGCGGAAATCAGGCTGTGTCTTCACTTTCTAGTCCATGTCTGACTAATGTGAAGAAGGAGAAGAGATTTTTTGGTGTGGGAAAAGGGGAAGGGAGACAGAGGGCTTTTGGGGGAAGATAACATTACTGAGAAAACCAGGATGCGCAGAGCTGTGCCAGAAGATGCAAATAGATGTGCAAATGGATGTGCAGAAAGGAACAAAGACAAATCAGAGACAGAGTCCTGACAGCTTCCCTGTGCCCGCATCAGTCTCTTTCTGAGGCTGATGTCAGGAAACTTTAAAATGAACAGATTACTGGTTGCTTCAGGATTATCTTTAAGCTATTTTATAACTGTGTAAATTACAGAATAATGACAGTAATGCAGGTGATTATTATTTATAGCATATGTTCAGTGTGACTTACTTTATTATTACCCTGAGGATGTTATCCGATTTGGCATTAAATCTTTTCTAAATTTCATGTAGAATTCAACCATGAATCCATCAGGACCCGGGCTTTTCTTTGTTGATAAGTTTTTTTTTTTGGGGGGGGGGCAGTACCCGGAGTTGAACTCAGGACATTGTGCTTGCCAGGCAGGCATTTGTGCCATGAGCTATATCCCCAGCCCTGTTGATAAGTTTTTAATTATGTTTTCAATTTCATTAATTGATATTGGATTATATCTTCTTGGGTCAACTTTGGTGATTTCATACATTTCTAGGAATCTGTCCATTTCTTTTGTTTTCCATCCTATACAAGTAAAGATTTTTGAAGCAGGTATTGATGATATTCTTAATTTCCACAAAATCTGTAGTGATTTCATCCTTTTCATTCCTTATTGCATGAATTTGAGTTTTTTCTCTCCTTTTTTTGATAAGGTTGGCTAGGGGTTTATCCATTTTATTTATTCCTTCAAAGAACAAACTCTTCAATTCATTAATTCTTTCTATTGTTTTCTTAGCCTCAATTGTGTTCATTTCTGCCCTGATCTTTGTAATTTCCTCCCTTTTGTGCACTTTGGGCTTGACTTGCTCTTCTTTTTCTAGAAGCTTGACAGGTGCAGCAGTAGGTTGTTTATTTGTGCTCATTCTGTTTTCCTGATGTAAGACTTCATTGCTATAACTTTCCCTCTTAGGACTGCTTTCATTGCATCCCACGGTTCCATTATGTTCCTTTGCATTTTCGTTTGATTGTAGATATTGTTTAATTTTTCCTTTAATTTCATCTGTGACTCATTGGTTGTTCAGGAGGATGTTATTCAATTTCCATGTGTTTATGGAGTTTTTGCAGTTTCTTTTGCCATTAATTTCCAATTTCATTGCACTGTGATCAGATGATATACATGGGATAATTTCAATTCCTTTGCATTTACTGCAAGTGAAAGGATAGAAAATAATACTCTATGTAATAGGAACCCAGAAAAAGGCAAGGGTAGCTGTTCTGTTCGCAGACAATGTAAACTTCAAGCCAAGAATGATCAAAAGAGATAAAAAAGATCATTACATACTTGTTAGGGGAAAACTTAAAGAGGAAGAGATAACAATCATAAGTATATGTACATCAAATACAGGAGCACCCAATTATATAAGACAGATATTAATAGGCATGAAAAATCAAATAAGCAATAATGCAATTGTAACAGAGGACCCGATTTTCATAAAGTGATTGATCAACTAGACAAAAAATCAACAATGAAATATTAGAACTGAACCAAACGTTTGAACAAATGGACTTAGTAGACGTTTACAGAGTGTTCCACCCAAAACATCAACATACATATTCTTCTCAGCTGCACACAGGACGTTCTCTAAAATAGACCATACACTAGCCCATAAATTGGTAACTCCTAAGCCTGTGTTGAATCAGAACTTTTAAAAACTTTCAGGTTCTAGCCAGGCGTGGTGAAGTACTCCTAGAGCCCCAGCAGTTGGGGCTGAGGCTGGAGGTTTTCCACGAGTTTGAGGCCAGCCTGAGCGAGTGCAAGCCCAGTTTGAACTACATAGTGAGACCCTGTCTCAAAAAAATAAAGCAAACCAATTACCTTTCAGATTCTCATTTTCTCATTTTATATTTTGAAGGCTACTCCATTGATTATCACTGTTGATACTTACCTAACATGAAACATAGTTAGAAACACCGTGATTTCAGGTATCCAGCTAAATAACTGAGAATTCGGTCTATTAAATGATGATCCTTTTCTGGACTCAGAAGTAGTTTTCCTTTTTACCCAAAGCCAAAGCAGGCTTTCTTGCTGTGCCTTTTTGAGGTCTCCACCTTGTATGGTATGGGGCTTTGCTGTTAGATGGCCCCATTTTGAGCGAGCCTTAAATTTTAACTCAAATTTCTATCAGAATCAAAGCTCAGAGTCATCCAAGTTTAACAAATATGAAAATTCTGACTTTGGAGCCCCCTCCTGCCCAGGTAGTCTTACTCTCATTTCTTTTATGGCCCTGTAAAACCTTACTTTCTTGCAAGTTCAGCTATTTATTTTGAAATATTTATAAACATAATTATTCAGTATTTTAACTTGTTTTTAAGTTAATGATTGTGTATCATACTGCAAAAAATGGAATTCACTGTGTTTTTAATTAATTGTTTTTGTTTTCATTAAACTGTAAAAGGAAGGGGGCATTGGTGTGTTCTTTCTATAAAAATAATTATAGGATTTATATATAAAGTTGATGTGTATGTCACTCTCTATGCATATACAGTATTTCTATAAACACATACCATCATAGAAATGATTACAGTATTAATTGTATTTTTTTTTACCTAACTGTAACCCTAACCCTTAAGCCCTAATTTTAACCCTAACCCTATTAATTGTGATATTTGAATGTTTTTCTGTGGTGTTTGCTTGTTTTTATTTTCCATAGTGTATATATATATTGCTTTTGTAATAAAACAATAAATTCCTTTTGGAAAACGGGACCTTTAAAAAATAAAATAAAATTGAACCAAAAGAATATGTGTTGAACATATAATAGTCACTGTATTTCATATATATGATGCCTTAACTGAATAAGATGTTTTGTGTAAATACATTTTGAATAGACCAAAACATGTTCCTTTTTTTTTTTTTTTTTTTTTTTTTTTTTTTTTTTTTTTTTTTTTTGGTTTTTTTGTGGTACTGGGAATCAAACTCAGGACCTTGTGCTTGCCAGGCAGGCACTTGTGCCGCTGAGCTAAATCCCCAGGCCTTTACTTTTTTTTTTCCTTTTCACACTAGATGCAATTTTCTTTTTTTTTTATTATAAAGAGAATTTTTAAAAAATAATAAAATAACAACAGACAAAAAATAAAGCAAAAAAATAATAATGATACCGGGTTGCAAAACAAAATAATAAGAATTAACAGTGGTTTTTATATTACATATTGCTATCTTCAACAAAGTTGCTCAGATTGCCAGATTTAAGAATGTAAGATTGATCAATCCATTAAAGAGAATAAATAATAGTAAAAAAGCATTAGAAATGATACAGAGCTTCACCAAACAAGATGGTAGGAATTCACTAATGGTTGTTATATTGCATATTGTTGTCCTCAAGTTAGTTCTTCAGATCACCAGATATAAACATGCAAAATTGGTAAAAAAAAAAAATTAAGCATTAACTGTTCCTTTCAATAAACCAGAGCGATTAGACAAGAGAGAGAAATAAAAGGAATAAGGATAGGAAAGGAAGAAGTGAAATTATCATTATTCACAGATGACATGATACTCTACATAGAAGACCCCAAAAACTCCACCAAAAGGCTTATGGATTTAGATACTATTTTTTTTTAGTCATTTCTCAGTAGATCTTTGTTATAATCACCTCCCTACCCTGTTCTTGGAGCTTGTTCCGTACCATTGGACTCCATGGTCCTATACTAAATAATCCTAGGTTGCCAATCAATGTAATAACCCATTTTCTAAACATTATAAACATAATATATTTGTAACAATTTTCTCCCTACCTGTATCTGCTCTATGATTGATTTTCTTAAGCTTCCCTACAATGTCTGTTTTAAAAATCATTTTCTTCTTTAGGACAAGGAACATCCAAGATACCTGATTCCAGAACTTTGCAAGCAGTTTTACCATTTAGGCTGGGTCACTGGGACTGGAGGAGGAATTAGCTTGAAGCATGGGTAAGTTTCTGGTCGATTTCATCCCTTAGAATTCTCCATATGAGTTGACCACAGGGAGCCTGTCCTGTGGTATGTCAGAAGAACAGCTGATGCTCAATTTGATGTGAGACTGATGGCATTTATTTTCTAACTGGTCAAATGGGTATTTGCATGAGTGAATGGAACCAGTGTGGACAAGTTGCAATTATCATAAATACCTAAGGATTTAAGAACTACAAATTTTAATCAGAATAATTTAGTCCTTAGTCTTTGGAGTATCAAAGTTAGACAACATGCTACCATGTTCATACGTCTGAAATTATAAAGAATCCTTTCTAGAAAGACAGGATTTGTTTTAAAGGGTTCAGGTAATATTTTAAAGTCACTTAAATATGGATTGCTAACTATTAAAAATTACATTTTATTGATTCATAAGAAAATCCATATGTTGGATGGATTTATCATTAAGCAGATATATCATTATTAAAGGACATAGTATCTGCTAGTCTTTATTCCTCAGAGAACAAAACAAGAGGAATTGGACATCAATTGAAACAGAAAGAGTAAGTAGTTTTCTATTGTTTATTATATTTATTCAATATCTTTTCTCTAAGAAGGTGAAGAATAAATACCTTACTGACAATGAAAATAGAGGTTGTAGAATCTCATTCTGTCACAGGCTGCTGCGATAAGATTATTGTCTTTTCTCCTGAAATATTTTAGGAATAATATTGTCTGGAAGCTGAATGTTACACTAATGATGCTGATTTATTTCTTTTGTCCTAATTCACTTTCTTTAACAAAATTGGATTTTTAAAATATTTATGTTATTGAATACATACATGTATAGTAATGCCCCCCAAGGACGCTCTACTGCATGATAAGAAAGTAAAATAAAAGGAAGTAAAATTTCAAAAATGGAAAGTAAAATAAAATCGGAACATTTTAGACGAAAGGAATTTTATGACATACCACAAGTTGATGTGATTGTAATTTCATCTGCTTCAAATTACAAAGTAATTCCTGAAATGTTAATTGAACAACGGTAAATAACAAGAGGGCCTCAGTCCCTCAGCTGGAACAGTTTTGGATGTAAGAATGCTCTCAGAGTCCAGTAAGCTCATGCCCCATGTGTCAGATCTGTATATCCATTTGTGTCCTGTCTTACCATTACCCACAGATGCTGCTGTGTCACTTTAGCACAATGGAAGCTTTTAGATTATTTTACCAAAACTTCCCAATTGGCCTGTTCACAGCTAACCCTATGCTGACAACAGTTTATTCTTGAATTTATCTACTTAGAAACTGAGTCCCAGTAACTTGCTTTTCTTGCTATATTATTAATAATAAATCATACTCAATGTTGTCTTTAGTTGACTACTGTTTATTTGCATATGCAGAAAATAGTTTTTACATGTACAAAATAGAGTGCGCAACTAAACTGAGCTACAACAACCATTTCTAATTATATCTTTTCAAACAACAGCAAAATTACAAATAGGAATATCAACTTCAGGGATTTTCTTTTTTAGCAGAAACACATAAAGGACTGTTCAGTCTAGCAGAACTGTACTAATCCATGCACTGCAACTGTGTGTGGTCGCCAAAACCGCTTATTGGCACATCTTTTAAAATTAAATGGTTTTTATAGCACTGCAATCAATTTATAGGAAAGTTGCATCATGTGTAAAATATTTTTTTTCCTTAGTTTCTTAGTAGGTGAGGAGCTCCTCCTGGAGGTCACAGATGGAAAGAGCCACAGTTTAGGGACTCTGGAATGTTACTAAATACGTGCTTTACACAAATGAGTATTTTCTAGTAAAATGTTGCGTTTTCCCTCTAACACTTGAAACACTTCATGAGCCCACATCACTAGCTTTATCAGCAGTATCATTCTCATGTTGCTAGTGATTGATTTTGACTCCTGGAGCAAATGAATTTGGAATGAAATACAAACTGATTAGGTTATGTTTCTAGAATAATACTGACAGTAAGCTCTTTGAACATACAGAACAACTGACTGATTTCAAGGTTTGCCTGAAATCATTCCAGCTGACAGTACTGGTAAGTGGTACCAAAAGATATACATTAAAAGATAGCTTATGACAAGCATAAGAGATAAAGCAGATGGAGGATCAAGAAAGTAACAGTAATCACGATAGTTCCAGAATCCTCTGCAGCCACTATGTTTAGTTTATGTCCCTACCATTCAAATATAGCAATTCTTATTTTCACATTGTAATACTAGTATGTGTCAGAGACACTAATCCTGTTGTATGCTGTTAGTAAGGTTTACAGTTAATAAAACCATATTATAGATGAGATCACTGAGGCATAGTAAGATTTAAATGATATTTTAAAATCACTAGAGAGTAAATAAAAAGAGAAGCAATGAACATAAATGTACTATGAACTCTTGGGTTTTGTTCCACTGCTTACAACATGGTGAAACAGTAGGGAGTATAGAAATAAATTCCAAAACTTAATACCTTGGAATTCAGAATGCTTTTTATTTGTGGCTGTACTAAATAAATATTTCACTTTAATCCCCTGCATTTTTCCCTCTTAAAGTAAAAGCTCTGTCATCTTTATATTTTATCCTGGTATTTCTTTGTAGGAGTTAATACATTTTTGTCTAAAAAATATATTAGCTAACCTTTTAACTGCCCAAAGTTGATCAAAGTTTAAAGTGAGCCCCATTGTACAAAGGCATTATAAAATAAATTTACCATGTCAAATCTTGTGGATAAACAGAATAAATACCATAGTTTTCCCACTTTGTAGGTAGATTTTATTTGCCAGGAAGTTATTTTGTACTTTATTTGGGTCCATTCCCAAGACTATATACATTGCTCCCTACACAAAAAGACCTGTGGTCCATTTACCTGTAGAGGGCGTGGACCATACCATCCATGATTCTAGAGTTCTTCCATGTTATGCAAGGACAAAAGGTGTAGACCGCTGGCATTAGCAATGAGCCCCTGTTACAGTATGATTCCTACCACCCTCACTGGTTCCAGGGCAGTGCCTCTCTTCCCCCGTGCATCAGGGCTCTAAAACACTGCTACTTCATGAAAGCTAATGTGTGCGTGCAGCTTACTCTGCTTTGGATTTCACCCATGTTATCGAGCACTTATTTTCTAGATTTTACAAATTATCTAACTTTTTTTCAGTTCCAAGTTTATATATTTATTAGCAACCCAAAGTTGATAGTTTCATAGGTCCCCATCGTCATTTTCACTACAGAGTGTTGGGTACTTATTCAGTGTCCCTATGTCTGTACTTCAGGGGTGGAAGCTGGGGCATCAGCCTTCCCCTAATCTGTATTTATGTTACAGCCCATTAATACTCTGTCAGCAACTGAAACTCGTAGGGGAGCCAAAGGACCTAGTTGATGGTAGAGAAATTAATTTAAAAATGAAAGTGGAAAGTACCTGGTGAAAAATGACGGGGTCGAGCATCTCCTTTTAACACAAAATCCTGTAGCAAAAAGATCTATCTCCACGTGTAGCCATCCTTTTGACATTTTTAACTTTTTGAAAATATTTAAGCTTATACTGTATGTTTCCCAAGAAACTTGAGCTTTTCAAGTAGGCAGCATAGTTCTATTCAAAAGGTCACCCAGTATTAACGTTGTAATGTAATAAGCTGTCCAGCAGAGGTCTCTGAGCTTCATAGTTTGTAACAGGCATTTTGAGGAATAAAATTAAACCTGATTCTTGGGGGCTGGGGAGTTAGCTCAGCAGCACAGCACCTGCCTGGCAAGCGCAAGGTCGTGAGTTCAATTCCCAGTACCAGAAAAAAAAAACAACTAAACCTGATTCTTTTGCATGACAGAAATCGTCTCCTACAGAGCATATTTTCCCTTGATTGAGTTTTGGAGTGACTGTATTTCATATATAATAGGATAAACTCTGCTTATTCAAGTTTTCAGGTGCTAAAAGCTTAAATATTCAGGTTTTCTTTTCCTCTAACTAGATCAAAATCTGATTACCATTGATTTTGCATCATAAAAAGAAATAAGAATATGATAATGTGGAAGACAAAAGCAACTACCTGCATTATGATGTGCCACCAGCATTACAAAGGCATTAAAGCAGTTTGGTATTCTTTCTGTGCAGCCTAAATCCTTAATTAAACCATGCAGCTATTTCCATAACTTGAATTAGAAAGAATGTTAATTATTGGACTGCTAAGATGTACTTTGTGCAAAAACAGAAAATTAGTAAAATAAAAACCATTGTTTATATTTTATGTTACCAGCAATGAAATCTACATTGCTCCTTCAGGAGTGCAAAAGGAACGAATTCAGGTATAGTAAAGGGATCCTTTATAAACCAAAATGTCTTTTCTACTTTCCTGAAAACTTCTAAAAGGTTACGTTTTGAAGGGTGGCTGGTTATCCTGTGATAATTTAAATAACTAATCAACAACCATCTGTTGATTCATATTAAGGTGGTTTCTATCTTCCATTCAACCCACGTGTGCTTCGAAATCTCATTCAGCCTGTGAGGGGCAGAAGTGAATAGCACAATCTTAATCCTGATAAAAAGTAATTATAATTGAGAAATCTCATTCTACATTAATGCTGGAATAATATTCAAAATCTAGGTAAAATACACATAGTATTTCTAAAAAGCTAAGAAAAAAGCTGCTTCATTAATAACACATTTATATCAGAGTTTGTAATAAACTCTGCCAAACAGAAGTTACAAATTAGAAACACACACATGCATTACTAAGAAAAAAATGGGTGGTTTGCAAGCTTTTTTAGAACTTTAAGAATAATATAACTTATTTAGATCAATCTTTCTGAGTACCAGTTAAGTTTTTCAGGAGATATGAAATTTTACTCTAAATACTCTTACTTTGAGATGTGAAGAAAAATTAGGACACCCATCTGGGAATGTTGATTTCTTTGTCTTGTCTCCCTGAAATATAGTTGTAAAATTATAGGACAAAGTTATGCTGCATCAGAAATGACAGCAGCATCATTACATACACATTAGTTTTCTTTGTCAATTCTAAAGGAAAGTAGTTTTTTAAACTCTTAAGATTATTTTTGTGGAAAATTTTTATTTCTCAATAATGCTAAAGTAGGAAACTTTATTTTTCAACACTGATAACCTTTTTTAAGAAAGTATATGGATATTTAAAATGAGTAAGCATGTAAGTATATATACACATACTAACACTGTATATATATGTGTGTACTGTGTACGTATACATATGTGTATTCTATATGTATACATACATATATACATCTGTATGTGTGTATGTTTACACACAGAAAGAGGAACATTTGTAACTGATAACTGTATAAGCCTTCCTTTTTTCTTTTTCCTTCTATCAATAGCCAGAAGACATGTTTGTGTGTGATATAAATGAACAGGATATAAGTGGGCCTCCAGAATCTAAGAAGCTTAAAAAAAGCCAATGTACTCCTCTTTTCATGAATGCTTATACACTGAGAGGTATGTAGAACATGTATTTGCCATGAAGAATATTTACCGAATAGGCTCCCCGAATAACAGTAATTATTATTTTAGTTAATATACCTACTGTATATAAAAACATTAAATATTTTAACTCATTCAGTTTTCACATGAGCTTATAAAGAAGGTCCATTATTCCATTTACCCTCCTCCCTAACACTAGCTTATTACTCAGTGCCACAAAAAATAGGTCCATAGCCATATATATTATATGAATACATGTGCATCTATATACATACAGGTACTTTTACTTTAGAAGTTACAGTGTATATGCTGCAGGTGTGGAGGTACACACCGGGAACCGCAGCACTCTGGAAGGCTGAGGCACGAGGATTGATGTTTGAGCCCAGCCTGAACAACTTAGCAACCAAGCAAGAGCCTGTCTCAAACTCTAAAAAAGTAAAAAGGTCTAGGGCTATAGCTTAGTGCAAAGGCCCCGGGTTCACTTCCCCAGTGCCACAGAGGGGGGAAAAAGTATAATTATCTTCCCTGACAGTTTATTCCTCCTCCTTCAGGAGCAGGCGCAGTGATTCATACCCACTCCAAAGCTGCTGTGATGGCCACCCTTCTCTTTCCAGGACGAGAGTTTAAAATTACACATCAAGAGATGATAAAAGGAATAAGGAAATGTACCTCAGGGGGGTATTATAGGTATTATCTTCTTCTCTTTTTTTGTTTAAATACTTTAAAAAATATTTGTCCTTTTTGGTAAGTAGGATGTTGATCTTTTTGTGCATGTGATGATATGTTGTGGAATCTTTATTAATATCCCACTTAATGTTACATTTCTAGACACAGTGTTTCTCCTGCTCTTCATTAGCTATGGTAATTTATTAGCAACGAAAATAATGAAGTATTTGTTGTTGTAAAATGGAAAAAACTTGGCCGAGATTTCTAGAGATGGAAAACTTATGACCCTGTATTAAAGACATTAAGTTCTCTTAATCTTTACTTTGTCTTTATGAGGCTTGAACCTAACTAGAGTTTAGATTTTATGTTGATTTAATTATTTCTCAAATATTTTAATGTTTAGAAAAGTTTCCTAGTTGTTTTAATTAAGTTTATTACTGAGTTCTAGAATTTTCCAGTGTAACAGGTGGCACGGATGGTAAGAACGGAGACTTTTTAATAAATTTAAATATATCTACCAGCCTATAAAACGGTAGTCATTATTCATAAGTCTAGGATATAATGGCTGAAGAAACACGTCCTCATTGCCCAGGTACAAGCTCAATCTTCCCTTTAAGTTTGTCACCTTCTTCCTGAGCCTTCATCTTTCTTAATTTCCTAAAGAGCCTCATAGCTCACCTTGTTTAGAGGAACATGATGCCAGTTGTACAAAAGTGTTCTTACAGCAATGTCTTACTGTCACTGCATGGAATGGAATATACGTGTTCAAACTGGTGTGCTGAGTTCATTTGATTTCATTTGATATTTATTGTGTATCTAAACCATTCCTCAACCCTGTGAAAACAGCTATTTATAAAGGTTAATAGAGAAAGTATGTATACTAAAGGAAGTTGGTCATGTATTGTCTTTTCCATCCCTGGGTCTTGAAGGAGAGGCCTTTGGCTGCTGTCACCTCAATATACTTTTGATTGCTTTGGTGAAGAAATAAAAATAGGTCAGAAGAATGTAGAGATTGGTGAGGTAGGAACAAAACGGAGAAAGAATGACATCAATGAAAAGGTGCTATTTCTTATTCCTAATACACATTTTATATATTATTTTGAGTGGTTCAGAATTAGAAAAATAAAAACTGTTTTGTGTGGTGCTAAGGACCAAATATGGGGCCTTGTACCTTCTAGGCAAGCACTTTACCACTGAGCTATACCCCAGCCCAAAACTTTTAAGATGCCCTTTGCAGTTTTATTTTGGCCTCATTGGAAACTGAGAAATAGGGTCATTATCACAGCTCAGGAAACAGTAATTTTATCTGAATCTGGGGCAAGTCCTAAGACGAATCAAAAAAGGGGCAAATAAAAACTGGAAGAAGAAGAAGATGGAATTGTAACATTCTTTTTTCTTAGAGAAAAGTCTTTCTAAAAAAAAACCAAACCAAACAAACAGGGTTGAGCATATAGCTCAGTGTTAAGAGCATATGGCTTAGTATATTACAAGGGGCCTACACACACACATACACACAGTGGATACACAAAACCAGCGTTAAAATACTTAAGTTTTTACCAAGGAAGGCTCACGTGTTGATCTAAATGTCCTTCCTTTTGGAATCTTAATGTCTGTAGAGTGACAAGAACACTGATACCATCCCAGCATGCTCTAGATTAGCTGGTCAGGATCTATAGCTTGTCTGGGAAATGGAAGATTGGTTTGAATATAGCTTTCAAGTCTTATTTTGCTATGCAATTATTTTGCACATAAAAGCATTTCTGACTGTTCAACGTATGCTAAAGGAAAAATAAGTTTGTAATTCTAAGCACATTTAGGAAAGATTTGGTACTAGTAGTGCATTCCTTCTATACTCAAGGATATTTTATAATTACCTCTGTTTCATCTAAAGTGAAGTAAGGGGCAACCCCATACCATTAATAATAATGGTTAGCCTAATTTTTAATCCCATGACAGCTACTTGGTCTACACCTGCCTTGAAGGAGCAGTTGCTGATGTTAATGATAACACTTTCCATAAAACTTTCCTTTTTGGTTAAGTTAACACACAGTTGGGAAAAGCAGATGTTACTTTAACAATGCCAGAGAAATTCCTGCAAAAAAGAAAAACATGTATGAGTTTTAATTGGTTATGTGACATTAAGAATAGATTTATTAGTAACTCAATTGTTTGAACATTATTACATTCAGATCCACATTGCATGCATTTCCTAAGAATAAAGTAGAAATGAAAGAAGTTCTAATGCTATAAATTTGAGAATATTCTTGAAAGTATTATCATGCTTTTAATAGCTATTTATTTCTAAAAGATTTTGCTGTCCCAGTGCACAAACCTCACTTGTATTTGTTGATGTGCTGTCGAGGCTACTTTGGAGTCCTGCAGAGATGAAAAAATGATATTTTTAATCCTTCCTATGTTTCTGGTTCTGTGATTTATAATTTCTCATCTCCTGAAAATATTATGACTGTCTTTGCTTCAAGGAAATACTTGTATGATCTTGATGATTTCTTTGTTAGATTTTTGTATAACATACACATTTCCGCCACTTAAGCTCGCCTGCCAAATTCCCAGGGTATCTTTTGATACAGATGTTTATACAAGATACACAGAACAACATGCAACATCTTGTTCATAACTTGGAGTTGCTTTCCAGCTGGAATGGCTAATTACTTGAAAAAATTACAAGTGTACTATATATATGAAGATCTTTAATTTGTTTTAATGATAGAAAATGGCTTGTCTCACCTTACAGATACAATGATATGTTAGTGGTACCCATTATTGAGAACACACCTGAGGAGAAGGACCTGAAAGAACGCATGGCTCGTGCAATGAATGAGTACCCTGACTCCTGTGCAGTACTAGTCAGGCGCCATGGAGTATATGTATGGGGAGAAACCTGGGAGAAGGCGAAGACTATGTAAGCATAATCCAGCAACATTTGGCATATCGCCATACTCTAAATGTAAAAATGAACAAATCATGTCTTAATTTTTAAAATAAAGTATGATTTTTCTATGGGTTTTTTTGGGTCAAATTGACAAGTTTGGTTTATCATTATGAGTTATAAATATTTGAGTTGTATTATATACTCATTTGAGATGTATTTATGAGATCAGCTCTTATCTGGAAAAGTTCTGTGGACTTTAATACAAAGAAGAGAAATAGATCCTAAGTAATATAAGCTTTACTTCCAAAAATGGCACATAGTAAAAAATGTCTGTGTAAGTCATATATTTAAAATTCTTTTATTTTCTGAAAAGTGTTTAATACTACAGCAAGATTGAATGTGATTCCTTTGCTTATTTCAAAGTTGTTTGGGACAAAATAAGAAAATTTTGGCCTAGAACTGAGGGGGGAAATGTATAGATACTAGGAAGGAGCAGTGCAGAAGTAACTGGACCGAAGGGGCTGGGGATTTAGCTCAGCGGCAAAGCGCCTGCCTGCCAAGCTCAAGGTCGTGAGTTCGGTTCCTGGTACCGGAGAAAAACCAAAAAAATAAAAATAAAAAATAAAAAAGAAGTAACTGGACCGAGAGGAGAGATGTAGTTGTTCGGGATGGGAGAACTCTGATTCAGTAAGCACTTTCAGTTCTTTTTTTTTTTTTTTACAGGTGTGAGTGTTATGACTATCTGTTTGATATTGCTGTATCAATGAAGAAAGTAGGACTTGATCCTACCCAGTTCCCAGTTGGAGAAAATGGAATTGTCTAAGCCAAGTGGAAGTTTAATTATATACAGTGGAAGCCTAAAATTAACTATTACTTTACTGACAATTATTTTTCTAAATAAATTAAAATTTGTATGATGCCATTAATTTGTAACTATACACTATAGGTGTTCACACCTAATATCTCCTGACATTGTATATTTGTTTATATTCTTAAAATTTTAAGTAGCAGAGTGATGGAATAAAAAAATTTGCTCAGTGTTTTCTTATGTTTATTTTTGATTTTGTAATAGCAAAATATTTGCCCTTATACGCAGACCCTTTTTTAAGTATATTCTCAATTTAATCTTTAAAGCTGCTGGTGATGACAGAACTCATTGGAAACTTTCCACTTATTTATGGAATGGGCATTTTCTTTTTTAATCATGGTGCGTCATACCTGATGTCAAAACAGTTTTATAGATTTTTCCCTGTTAAGTTTTATTGTTCCCCCCTCAGGCTTAGCACCCATCATCCAAAAATCCAAAATCCAAAATTTGTTAGCACAGCCATGATGCATAGGTAAAAAATTCCATACCTGACCTATGATAGGGTACGGCCAAAATGCTGGTACACTAAGAATACTGTATAAAATTCTCTGCAGGCTAAGTTACATATGAAACATAAGTGAATTCTATATTTAAACTTGGCTCCTGTCCCTAAAATATTTTACCATGTAAATGCATATATTCCAAAATTCAAAAAAATCCAAAACACTTCTGGTCCTATTTCAGATAAGGGGAACTCACCCTATAAAACTGTATGACTCCCTCATGATAATTGCAAAATTCAAGTCAGATAATATTAACTGAGACCCTTCACCAAACAAACCCTGACCAAATTGGTGATGTAATTAATTCAAAAGTGTTTTTTAATATAACCAAAAGTAAAGTTAATGAATATAAAGATTTTAGTGTTTGACTAGTGCTTTTTTAAAATTGAAGAAGGTAATTGTCAGCTCCATAATATTAATTTTCTATTCCCACCTCTCATTATCTTCTTTTGAGCTGATTACCTCAGATTTTTCCTTTGTGTTGTCCATTACTCCTTTCGTGCCCTTGTTTCCTTATGAAGCACAGATCACATGGTCCATTATTCACACCATTTCATTCCAACCATCCTGTTCCTGGTGCATCTTGCTTTCTCAGTTTCATTTACCTGGTAGAAACTTCAGTCTTTGTCAGTTCACTTGGCATTTGTATTCCAGCAGCAAGATCCGGTGGGGGGAAATTGGGCAACCACGCTGACTGACCCCAGGTAGGCACTGGACACTACACGTACGCCACAATTCCCTAGTAAATTCATTTGCCAATCTCATGACTTTCTGCTCACCCTTCCTTTTCTTTCATCAAATCTGTAACATTCCCTGCCAGCTTTTAGATGGTAATCTTACCTCGCAGTTGAGAAGATAGACTCAGGGCAAAGAGAACTAACTGTCCCACTTCACAGCCCACTAACCTTGGAGCCTCCCTTGCCACTTTCCATGAACTTCGTCAAGCCAGAGCTTTCAGCTGTGCGTAAGTCTATTGTCCTCTGACATTTCCAAAAATTTTGCTTCTGCAAGTATCCCCACATTTGTCCCATTTCTCCTATACTGTCAGTGCTTTTACCCTCTTAACTACATCTTTTCCAGTGACATAAAAACATGCTGTAGTGTCTTCCAACCTAGGATGCAAACCTTGCCTCTGACGTTCACCTAACTCCAGCATCTTTAAGAGCTTTGTTCTTTAAAAATCTGTCCACTCTTTTGCCAATTTTCTATTCTCCCACCTGCTCCTTAACCTACTTCACTGAAAAAGCTCTTACCAAGAGAAACCAAATTCTGTATACCCTTAACTTCTTTGGGCACACCTTTTACTTTTCTTGCTCTAAAAGAATCCTGTCCCCCCTTGAACGACACAGCTTCCTCTGAAGCTGAGTGATGGTTGCTCCCATTCCTCTGCTCCCACTGGCCTGGGGGTAAGATGAATGAATTCAATGAATGCTAAATGCCTCTTTCCTGTCCTTGTTGCACTGTACTCAGCCAACTTTCAGTCATAGTCCCTGCTGTCTTCTGACTCCACACCTGTAAGTATGTACCATACTGTGGCAGAAGTAAAACACACAGCCATATTAATGTCAAGTGGCCTGTGAATGCTGCCATAGAACTTTATTACTTTCATCTCATTTTCCTACTTTTCTTGACCTCTGTCTTTCTCTTCTTAAACTTCAAACACCTCCCCGCATTCTCACTCAGGGATGATGACCTTAACTGCCATTTCGCTGAAAAAGCCAAGAGAGAACTTTCCTAGGCTTCCCACCTCCACATGTCCTATGCAGTGTATGCAAGCTGTCCCTGCTGCCGAATGGGCCAGACTTCACTCCGGCTGGAGATCTGCCCTCAGTTTCAAAGACATCGCTCTAGCCGTTTCTTCTTTCTGCCACATCATCAGTTTTGTTCTGTACTACATCTTTTCCTTCAGCATACAAAATATGCTGGTCTCTTTCCCTTTTAAAAAAGGAATCTAAAACTCACTTTCTTCATGGATATTGCCTGGCTTCTCTCCTTCCTCTTCAAAATTTCTGAGGAATTGCTATATTTTCTGTCCATTTCCTCTTCTCCCATTCTGTTGAATTCATTGCAATCAGACCACCCCTCTGAAATATTATAGCCTTTGAAGATGATCACACAAATCCAGTGTGATTCTCTTGTTTTGTTTTGTTTTTCCAGTTTTGGGGATTGAACCTGGGGTCTCACACACGCTAAGCAAGCTACACCCAGGCCCTCTCTGTCCTCATCTTAACCTGTCAGCATTTGGTACAGGGATCAAATCCTCAACATCAGCTACCCTTATTTCCCACACTTTGCTGGTTCCTTTTCAGGTCTTCAAAGTCCAAAGTGTTCCATGAATCAGTCCTTAGACAAATTTTCTCCATCCTCGGTGATCTCATCTAGGTTCCTGGGTTTAAATATCAGATGGATTGTGCCCAGTCATCAGTTTACACCTTCAACCACATATTCCTCCTGATCTCTACACTTCTGTGTGGCTTTTTGGTACATGCAGAGCCGTGTACTCACTGTTTGCTGTTACCACCCAGTCCAAGCCCCACTTTTTTCACTTAAATTTTGTAGTTGTCTCCTCACCAAATTCCCTGCTTCAGCCCTTTTCTCACTGCTTGCCCTTGCAGTCTGTTATCAACATCAACCTGCGTGATCCTGTTAACATAATGCCAGCTGGTGTCTCCCTTCTCAAAGGCCCCTTTCTGGCTTCAGAACAAAAACTCTCTGCTGCTTGTTATTGCTCCATTCAGCTACTCTCCAGAATTACCCTGCTTCCAGGAATGAAAGTGCTGTGGGGAAAGGGGGCTTTGAAGCTTTCCAGGTACTTGTGCACATTTTCTTCCCTCTTGAAGTGCTCTTCCTACAAACACCTGCATAGCTCATCCCTCTTCTCATTCATGTCTTGAATATCACCTGACCACCACACTGCAATCGCAGCCCCTCGCTGCACAGAAATCTCCTCCCCTGCGTTACTCCTCCGTAAAGTGCTTATAACCGACTGCTAATATCTTATCATTTTATTGTTTGTCTTTTTCCTTCCACCAGAGCACCAGTTTCACGGTGGTAGAACTTTTCATGCAGGGGCTGGGGATTTAGCTCAGCGGCAAAGCGCCTGCCTGCCAAGCGCAAGGTCGTGAGTTCGGTTCCCAGTACCGGAAAAAAACCAAAAAAAAAAAAAGAACTTTTCATGCTTATTCACTCGGGTATCCATAGGGTGCAGCATTTCACACATACTTGATACTCAAATATTTCTTGAATGAAGGTCACCTTTTTGCTAAAACTAATGGTGACTTCGTATTTTACTGGTACCATTAGTGATTCCTCCTCCCTGAAATATTTCTGTCCAGGCTTCCGTGACTCCAGATTCCTGTGATTTTCTTGTATCTCATCGGTCATTTCTATGGGTCTTTTCTTGACTGTTTTTCTTCTCAGACTTAAACATGGGGGGGCTTCAGGGTTCTGTCCTTGACTGTCTATCTTCTATGTTTTCTTCTTAGGAAATCTAATTCATTGTCATTTGTTGATAACACATGGTATTTTTTTTTTCTCTAACCCCTTCTTTACACTCCAGACAGTTATTTCTAGCTCCTAGTCAGCATCACTCCTTGGACATCTAATATCTACTATCTTAAATCTTTTATGGCGAGAACAATGCAATTGACTTTTTCTTCCCTTTCTTCCCTTTCTACGTTACCCCACCTTCAAACATTTTCTGAAAGCTTATGCCAAAAATTTCTTTGAGACAGATAGCCTGACACGTTGTAAGCACTCTATATTTGTTTTCTGGATTCTTGGTGGAAGTTTCTCCACTGGTGAAAAATAATTTGGGTACTTTGTTTAGCTTCTTATTTATTTATGTATATATATAAATATGTATATATGTACCAGAGATTGAATCCAGGGCCTTTGCATTGAATATGTCCCCAGTTTTTAAAAAATTTTTTACCTTCAGACAGGATCTCACGGAGTCACTAAGTTTCCCAGGCAGTGTTAGAACTTGCAGTCTTCCTGCCTCAACCTCCTAGAGTGCTTGGATTACAGATGTGTGCCACCACACCAAGAATTTTCCTTATTTTTCATGTGAAGCTAAGAATGAGATAAAATATGTGAAAGAGATATTCATAGTGCTTGATTCGTTGGTAGGTTTAATAAATAGGTTATCTTGCTTTCTCTAGGTCCCATTTACTCTTCATAATAATCTTTTGATCTTACTTTATGAGGAATTTTACTTAAAATAACTCCTAAGACATAATTGTCTTTGGGGCTATTATTCCAGTTTCTTTTAAAAAGATGAGGAAATTGTAGCCCAGGTAGAAATAATAAGAATTTCAATAAGAAAAAATGTGTAAATTTCTTAACATACTACCTTCTGTGTTAGGTATGCACTCCAAATATAAACTTCCTTTTCTAAGAACGCCCCATGTAGCTTCCCCAGGGTCATCATCATTCAAGTAGTAAATCATTTAACCTACGCTACAGCAGCAGCACACTGCCAAATCCATGTTTCTTTTTCTTTTTTAGAGGGGAGTACTGGGAATTGAACTCAGGACCTCGTGCTTGCCAAGCAGGCACTGCACTGCTGAGCTATGTCCCCAGCCCTGAATTCCATGTTTTTTCATCACTGGGAGTGTAAAAAAGATTTGCAAACCTGATGTAGAGCTGGGAGAGCAGCTAGGTGGTCAA